ATACTGCATTGTGATAACTCTGGAAATCAGATTCTTTCCTGGTCTTAAACCAAGAATTGCTGCTGTTGCTTGTTAAGGACTGTAGTTGTATATTTGTTTGGTTACTTTTCCAAATTAATTTTCCAGGACTATATTTCTTCTCATGTATGATCATCGAAGTCTCCTGTTCCATTATCTCTATAGTTAGCAAGGTGACCTGACAGAGATTTCCTTGAATGCCAGTCTCTTTCTTCATCCATTATTTACTGGGATGCTGCAGGTGTTCTACTAGACTCCAGGGTTTGAAATGGTTGGTTCTACCAGGTCTTGCCAGCTCAATAGTTATATAAGTGGAAGGACCTATTCCTGGAGCTTCCTACTCTGCCATCTTTGGTGAAGTCCAAGTTGTTTTGCTTTAACCACTATCTTGAATACAATTCTAAAATATATCAGTACCCTTTGACCCTGTCAATCAACTGCACAATGGATAAAATTTACCTTCTTTCACTTTTAGCTATATTATAATACTTCTTTAATGTTCTTTTATGGAACATTGGGATAAATATTGGAAGTTGATTATTTTTAGTGTATTTACATAGCCTCAAAGGTATAATATGGATGTTGCCTCTCTGTTTTCTATAATTATTAAGACAAATATTATTCATACTTTTAAAGTCATCTATTGCCTCCAAACTTGTTAAATCCACAGGCAGAAGGGAAAGGTACCTGTTTGTCAAAAAGAGTCAGAAATTGAACATTAGCATTCCAACACCATGTGAACCTATTTCAGCAAAGTGGATAATTAGGATATATGAAAATTGGTCATTTAAAGAAGATATATATTTCTACTCTCTTTATATAAGCAGATACTGACACTAATTGGACTAAACTGTCTCCATGCTCCCCAGAACAATTACTCTGTAAAACCAAGTGGTTCTTATGAAAAAAGAAAAGAAAACAACAAAAAAGAAGCAATGCCCAAAGTCCCCAGAGTTTTAAAATTCAATTATGATATCTTGCAGGGTAACTTTGGGTTTCCTCTTACTTACTTTGGTGCTTTTTTTTTTTTTCTGTGTCATAATTTGAATTTGAATTTAGGCAGCATTCCTAAAGGCTTCCTGAAAATCAGACTTTGAAAAGTCCTAAAACCCCCATCTAAACAAGGGCATAAATTCAAAATGGCAACTAACATGTTGTGACTCAGCAATAGAGCACAATCTTTCAGGCAGTGCTTAAATTAAGAGAAAAAAAAAAAACAAACACCTCTGATGTCTAACATTTATTTTATTTCATTTTACCTCCCATCTCTTTTCTCTTCTATCCTTTTGGATTATCAGTCTTATTTGACAGGCTATTTTCAAAGAGAGCTCAGAAATATTGTCTTAAGCCGATAAACATTTTCACCACTATAAAATGGAACGCAACAGGAAATTATTAATTCTTGCCTCCAATGTATCCATATGTGGAAGAAAAAATAAGATTCCTTTATCCTGCTGTTGTAAGGTGATGGTACATACATACAAGAATTAAGTTTACAAAGTTAATAAATGGAATGATCTTAGCAAAGATTTTTCCCAGCCAATTTGACTACGTTTTATAAGTTTTGACAGAATTCTCCATTCATCCTTCTGGGGAATTATAATCTAGTTTGAACACATATGACTGGAGAAATACCCTATAAAAATAGAGCAAAGTAGCATGTAAAATTCTATTATGGTTACCAAGGTCCTAGTGTTAGTGAGTTGTAGGATTGAGACTAAAACATAGATCTCTTGACTACAAGTCGAAGTTCCTTAGAGGAAAGCTAAGCCTGAGGTAAATATACCTGAGTCAAAGGGGTATTCAGACAGAGGAAAAGAAAAAAGATGGTATTGATGTCTATAAAAAAAAGAAGCAAGATGTTAGGACAGAGTTCTCAGGTCTTAGAATAAAAGAAAATAAATTTCTCTCAGGTAAATAGGTAAACATGCTGAGAAAGAATGCTGAGGGTCATGTAGTTAGGGGAGGATAGAACGGGGTGGCGCTCAGATCATAGGCCTCATCTGTGCAGGCAGCCTTAGCATTAGGGGGTTTGGATATAATATAGAACCCAGAGTTGGAGGCAGACCAATGTAGACCCAAATCCAACCTCTTTTTATTAGCTGTGGGCAAGCTAATTCACTCCAAAAAGTATCTAGTTCCTCATTCTTTAAAATGGTGATAATTAACAAAAAATAAAAACAAAACTCCTTATAGAGTTTTGAACAATGGACTAAGGTAACTTATGTCAAGAAGCACCCCGCAGAATTCATGGTAAGGTATAGCTACTAAATAAATACTAATTACAGCTGCTGTTCCATAGATTTGACTTATTTGGCCAAGAGCTTGGAACTTTGGAATCAGTTAGTGTACCAAAAAATGCTTATGGTAACAAGTAACAAAAAATTCAATTTCTAAACAATAAGGAAACTTACTAGCTCACACTCAGTGAGTCCAAGGTAGGACGTGCTTCAAGATTATTTGAGAAAACATTTCAATAATGTTGTCCACTCTTCAGTGTTGCTTCACCATATACTGGTTTCCTTGATGTTTATAGGAGGATGACAGTAGCATTCATATCTGGTAGGTAAGAGAAAATCCTTCTCCAAATCGTCAAATTTCCTCCTGTGCAGTGTGAGGGGTCCAAATTAGTTCACTTCTCTTCATATAGTTAACTGTGGCCAAAGAAAAGCCAGACTCTAATTGGTTTAGGCCTTGATTCCTAAACCAATCAGCAGCAAAGGGAATGGGGTTTTCATGATTCTCAGGCCCTGCTTTAGGAGCTGGGGTCAAATTTGGGTTTAGGGAATCAGATCCAATGTCTGCTGTTGAAAGCTTGGGTTCTGACACTTATTTGCTTTGTCCTTGGGCAAAGGACAACCTTACACAACTTTACTGAACTTATTGAATTCCCTTACCTGCAAAATGGGTAGGAAGCAGAATTGAGATAAATAAAAGTGAAAACGAAAGGTTCTGCAGAGGGCTTGATAAGTAGTTAGCACCCAGTAAATTATTAACGTCATTATTATTCACCTATGTATTTTCATATTATATAATAGTTCTAAAATGGTCTGCCTTTTTGGGTAAAGTGTGAATTTTTTGAGCATAGAAGCAATATCACTCTCATGTGTTACCTCTAAAGTTTTACATATAATAAGTGCTCAACATATTTCTTTAACAAATGAGTGAATAAATGAATATCTCTTGAGTGAACAAATAAAAGCCTGAAAACAATAGAAGGTAGATTTAAAAGAAAGACAACCAAATGGTGACTGGTCAATGAAAGGTCAGGGAGGATAAAGAGAACAAAATAGGCCAGCCTGAGAAAAACTATATTTGAGAGAAAAAATTGCCAGATTTAGTGAGGTCTTTTCCTGGCACACTAGAGTGGTTGCAGGAAGTAAGTGAACTGAATACAACTCGAGTTTAGGACAACTGGCTCAAAAATGCAGTGATGTCTTCAGATACGTTGTTTTATAATTTGATAAATAATAAATGTGTGAATAAAATCCCTATCAATACTTACTGTAATCTAGAGGAGGTAGAAGAGAGTATAACAATGATAGGTACTGAGTATGGATATGTTTCGAGCATTATTCTAAGTATCTCTCTTGCATAAACCCATATAATCCTCAAAACAAAGCTGTGAGGCAAGCACTATTCTTTTCATCTCCATTCCCATTTACAGATTGGAAAATCAAGCCCAGAGAGACTGAGAAACTTGCTTAAATCCCACAGACAGTAAATAAGAAAGTGAGATGTTTACCCCAAGGGTCTGACTCAAGAGTCTGTGTGTTTAGCCATTAACTGTACTGTGGAATAAATAGAAGGGTGCCTAGAAAAACCAGGCTTCATCTCTAAACTATCATGTACTTTAGAGTTAAATGCATCACTGTCTGTGAGGAGCACTACGGGTCTCTCATGTCACTGAGAGCTGAAAGGTGTAGCCAGCCGTTGATCACGTATGTGCCCCTCTGGCCCTCCACATTGTCCTTTGGAATCTCCAGTGCATAACACAATGGCTGTGGAGAGTGCCAACTAAACAAATAACTGTAAAGTGAATGATTGCAAGGATGAGTGGATTTGGATCAATGCCAGCCTATATGTGATGTGCCCACCTCATTTCCATGGAGACCAACCTCTTCGTGCTTCTGCTTCCCCATTTGGTAAACTGTCTTTAAAAACTTGCTGCACTTTTCAAGATGAGACAGTAGGCTTCACAGCGACCCTTGGAGTCATATGAAAGAGATACTTAAAGATAATTCATGCCTCCAAGGACACACTGGGAACTGGAATGAATACAAGGTGTGTGTCCCTTTCCAGAGGCTCTTTCAGAATTGTTGCTGAGCTATAGAGAAAATGCACAATAAGCCGTCTGAATGAAAGGAAATGCTAGTCCAGGGGCTCTCCAAGGGAATTAAGGAATGAGGCACTATCAAACTACCCTTTCCTCAAGAGGCATCCGCAAACAGTAAAACGAAGACCGTCACCAGCAGACATTTTCTGGTTATGTTTTAGCATAGATCTGCCTTCAATCAGACTTTAACTTGAAATTCCTGCATTTCCCTTCAGCTGCTTATATGGTGAATATTCACGGCAGTCAGAATCCCTACTCTTTCGAAAGAGCTATAGTCCCCCAAGAGTTAAGTTCCAAGAAAAACATACAAGCCACAATTCAGATTTCAGCTGTACAAATAAAGTACAATCTTAAAACATAAGCAAGATGAGTGTTGAGCTTGTTGCTCTAGAAATTGCTCTGCCTGTTGTAACCATGTAGTCTCATCTCTTACACCGAAAGATCTCTATTAATAAAAATAAAATCAACATTATTTCCTTATCTCTCTATACTAATCTTTGTCAGCTATGAGGAATATTCCAGAAGGCATTATCATATTTAATAGATATAAGTGGTATGCAAAATATTTATAATTAGACTTTTAAAAGGAGCTTTTAAAAAAAAATCACTGTATTTGCACGCCCTTACTTACAAGAAGTGTCTTTAGCTTGCAGCCTCTGAAGGAACAAAAGCAAAACTACTTGAGCAAGTTTCCTGGCTAGAGGAAAAACTAGAGACTCTGACCCATAAGGAAGACAGTGGGGAACCATTTGAAAAAATGGTTCTTGCAAAAGACCAGGTATGTTGTAGAAGAAAAAATAACCTTTCTCTTAAAAAGCTACCTGAACTTATATGAATTGACAATTCTGCAGTCCTATCTGGATAGGCTGGAAGTTCGTATTTAAATTCAAGATGGCACATAAAAATATTTGTATTTGGTAAATGTAATTGTATTTCCTGATTAATATTCACATATAAAAATTAATTTTGTTAGTGATAGTTTAAAAGTTTGTTTGATATGGAGCCTCTTGGACCATATTAGCTGAATATTCTACGTATTTGTAAGTGGCATGAACTACACAAATGTTTCCTTGTTTTTCAGGTTGAACTTAATCAATGAATAGCTTCTGTGTAGTAAAATAAATAGATCTGAAAGTTTATCATGCACTTAAATCAATGATAAGAAGTTAATAATCTTGGAATCTCTGGGCATTTATATAAATTTGTTTTTTCTTGTTCAACTCAAATGGGTTTGTATCTGCCTTTGGCATATATATATTTTTTCACACAAAAACATATCCATATGTTCCAAAGGTAAGTATAAACCCATTTGATCCTATACATATGTATATATAATATAAAGTAGGTCAGCAATACCTTCAATACATCAAGCAAACATTATTTTCTCACTCATTTCCTAAATCTTAGCATATTTGTGTTCTTTGTTGTTGGGCTCTTCAATAGATTGGACAAAAGGTAGGGATAGGAGCAAGGATTTCTCAATGATGATTTGCAAAGTATGTAGGCAAATTAGTGCTGCCATTCACAGGATTTGAGAACTAGTATCTATTTCTATCTGGAATCTTTTGAATATGTAAAAGGAAGAGTTATACTCTTTGTTTCTAAACTTTTCTCCTTTTCAGTGCATTGAGAAATTACAAGCTGAAGTGAAAGCTTCCCAAGAGCAACTTACAGCCCATGTAAGTGGTTTTCTCCTTTTTCAATCCCTTAACTTACATCATGGTTATCCTGGGAATGAACAGTCATTTTTCGGAAGTTCTAACTATTGTCTTTCTGCTGCATACCAAATCACAAGTCTAAGAATCAGTATTTTTACTGCCTCTACGAAGTTGCTTCCCGTAAATAGAATGCTGATTTCTGCTGATGGTAAAGATAATAAAATTGATGTGTTATCTATAACCACACGGTCTAATCAGGGACCACCAGGATAAGAGAATAAGAAACTAAGGGTAGAAAGATGAGGAAACCAGGCAGGTTTAGTGAGTGAATGAAAGTGGAAATGATTGGCACATTGAATACAGGCTTATTAGAACAGTGTTGCTTAAACTTCAGTGTTTCGAGAATTACTTGGGAAACTTTTAGAAACAAACTGCCTGGAGATTCTGATTTCTGCATGCCTTGGGTAGGACCTGAGAATTTGTGCTTCCAGATGATGCTAGATTCAGGTGATGCTGATGCTGCCAATTTTGGGCCACATTTCAAATAGCACTGTATTGTGTGCATTCATTCTGCCCAGTCTAGTAATTCTTGGACAAGTGACCATAAGAGCTGCAGAACTGTTCATTTTCCCTGCAAGTACTCCCCTGAGAGAGACCATATGAAATTCTAGGGTGTATTTCTTTTTCTTTCTTTTTTTTTTTTTTTTTAAGATTTTATTTATTTGACAGGCAGAGATCACAAGTAGGCAGAGAGGCAGGCAGAGAGAGAGAGGGGGAAGCAGGCTCCCTGCTGAGCAGAGAGCCCAATGCGGGGCTGCATCCCAGGACCCTAGGATCATGACCTGAGCCGAAGGCAGAGACCTTAACCCACTGAGCCACCCAGGCGCCCCTCTAGGGTGTATTTCATTGACACTTTGGCCTATCTTCACTCAGAGATCGAATGAGCATCTCCTGCCACAAGATCCTTGCATGTTTCACACACATAAACCAGTTGCCACCCTGCCTCTGTCCCTTCCCAAGGATCTGAACAATTCTGATATCTTACAAGTTTCCCTGAAGACTTGCTCACCCTCTTTTCAATGATTTCTTCTATCCATACGTTGGGCACTAGGGAAGGACTTTCTGATTAAGTATATTAGCTGGTCATGTTAAACCGTTAATCTGAATAACAACAAGGTCTCATACTATCTGAGACCTGAGGCACTGCTTTCCAGAAGTCCTACCGAAATAACTGCAAAATAACTAATTCTCATCACCATCCCTTTGATATTTGAAATAAGCTAATCTGGATAAATCATGGTAATTGACTGGGGGCTGGGTACGGAGAAAGAAAAGCTAATGTGCTGTGGAGGTTAGCAGAGCTTTTAGCTTTGACTTCAGAACTCTTTTGGCCTTGTATGCTCAACTGACCAAGTGTGAAAATGATTAAGGCCTGCATGTGTGACATGGTGACATATTTAGACAGCAGTATATCTCATTAGCTCAGTTTTCTGATGCAGATGCCACCCTCTGGTCCGACCCCAGTCTGCCCCTGAGGGTGCCAGATAATGACTATTGTCAGAGCAAGTCTTCTCATGCCAGACTGGTACTGGCTGTAGGCCATTTGCCCAGGGTGGGTTTAGCTCAGAAATTTGTCAAGGAGAGCAGATTGTTCACTAAGGTTCTGATATTAGCTTCCAGCGTCTCTTCATGCAAAGTGGATTTAAAAAACAAAACAAAACAAAACAAAACCATAGTCACAGATGCCTTTAGGACATTCCTGTCGTGTCTTCTTCCATTGCCTAGCTTGTGGGGAGTCTATTCCTGCACCATGCTGGTCCTGGCCTGGGCTTGTCTGAACTGGGATTACTTTCTTGTATTAGGTATGGATACCCACAATGGAGATTTCTGCTATGTAACTGCCCAAAGTTAGGTTTTAATAGAGCAGGGTGGTTGCGAAAGCTTTGCTTCAACCCATCAAGAAGATTTAAATGAAAATATTAGTAACAGCGTTTATTGAGAGTAGATTTTGTGTCTATTATGTGATAGGTGCTTCATATATTTTCTATTTTAAGTCTCAATACAACCCAACAAGGTAGGCATTATTTTTCAGGTAGGAAAACAATATTAGAGATTAGCTCAGTTGTCACACATGTCAATTCTACCCATGCTTTTGCAAGCACAATTTGCTGCCTCTCCAAACTGTATTCTCTACATGCCATTTCAGGTATCAAATGGTGTTTATAGAAGTTCTTTCTGCAAGCTTGTCTCTCTATTCACTCTGAATGATTCATCAGTACATAATGCCACAACTCTCACTTCCATGCAAATAAACAACCCCCGCCACCCCCATCAAATTCTTTCGATCCTAATCATCCCCTAATTACAGCTCCTTAGGACTGTAATAATTTCTTAAGACATGGTTCCTTGAAAATAATCTTCCAAATGATGTTAATAGGTATTCTGGGAAAAAAAAAAAAATTGGGAGGGGCACTGGAAATGAACTTAAGTTAGATGGGTTTAGTTACTGCAGGATTTATCAGTGTATAATCAATCTCCAAGAGAGGATCATAGTATGTTTTTTTCCAAGGGTGTTTGACCATGAGTGCACAAAGGTTTAGAGACTGCTAGCATATTGCATCAAATTAAAGCAGTATGTTTGCTACATATGACTTGAATATCTTGCTGATTCCTTAGGCTCAGCATACACAAGGTCAAATTTATCATCTTCTAATCCTATGTCTTAAATATGTCCCTCTTTTTGGATTCCCACAATAGTGAATAATATCACACTGCTGTTGTTTATTCTACATCCAAACTACCAACCAGTATTAAAATCCTACCTCTCTCTGCCTCCATCCCACATTTAGTTAGTTGTCAGGCTATGGATATGTTTCTGCAAGTTATCTCACTTCTGTGTCTTCTATTCCATCATACTGTCATATCCCTAACTCTTTCTCACCATCTTTCATCTTATTGCTACTGGCCCCCAAATATTAACATATTCAGGTTCAGAAGCTCCCGCTGTCTGTCCCCCCAACCCAAATCACAATGTAATCCTCTTGCTCTCACACCATCAAGTCCTGTTTGCAGAGCACAGAAAGGGTAAAACTCATGTGTGAAGATGCGGGGTGGAGGCAGAAAACTAAACAGAGACAAAGAGTAATGTTCAAAGGGAGGATGAAACCTACTGGGGCAGCAGAAAAGAGAACAGGGATTGAAGGACCAAGGTGGTCGGAAAAGAACTCTGTAGATGGGGTGAGGGTCCTTCTGGGATAGGACACTCGTAGGCTCCTGGGAGTTCTAGGGATGCTTAATATTAAGAAATAACTGTTAATCTCAGGAAACAAACTGAGGGTTGCTGGAGTGGAGGAGGGTGGGAGGGATGGAGTGGCTGGGTGATGGATACTGGGGAGGGTATATGTTTGTGATGAGCTCTGTGAACTGTATAGACTGAGCAATCACAGATCTGTACCCCTGAAACAAATAATACATTCTATGTTAATAAAAAAAAATGATTAAGAAAAATGTTAAAATGTTAAGGAAAAAAAAAAACTTAAAAAAAAAAAGAAAGAACAGAATATTAATAGGAATTGTCAAGCGGTGTATACTTGAATCCCCCTAAATGTTTAGGAGTCATGTGCAAAGCTTGGAATTCCTTTTTGGGCTGTGCCTGCTCAATGTCACACTACTGTAGGATGTGACCCTGTAGTAGTCTTTTGGCTTCCCTGCCTCTGCCCTGTAAGAGGTTTCCAAAGGACCATTCCTACCCCAAGCTCCCCACTCTTACCCTACCCCCACACTGCCCCCCACTGAATAAGCTAATAAAATGGCACTTCTGTCTTTTCTTTATACATCCCATGCCAGCTGATGCCCTGTGAGTTTACTCTCTTGTTCTCTTGGTCTGGACTATTTCTACCTTTGCTCTTTATCCAAATAATTCTTACTCTTATTGCAAGACTTGTATCAACCTCTTCCTTAGCCCCCAGATTACTTTCTCTGGACTCCCATAACCTCCTGTACCTACATCTATTTTTAGTTCAAAATACTACTTTTTGTTGATATTATCTATTCATATATCTGTCCCCTACTAGACTTAAAGGTCATTGAGGGCAACATCAAGAACTTGTCTCTGTAACTATCACTCCAAGTACAGGGCTAGACACATTACAGCCACTCAATACATTTTCTAAACTGAAATGAATTTTACTCTGCTCATGTCATTTCCCCCGTTTCAAAGCCTAGGGTAAGACAATGGTTGCCCATTACTCCAGAATAAAGTCCAACCTCCTGACCATGGCATTCATCACACTGAAAATGAGGCTCTGACCCCTTTCCCCGACTTCTCTGTATCACACATCTGTGACTCCCAGGAATGCCATGCATTCCTGCCCTAGGGGTTATTCTCGTGGTTTCTTTCAACCTGGAATATCAGTTCCCACCAACAATTCTGATGAAGAATGCCAGTTTTTTCCCATTCTTCATCAGAATTGTTCCTTCCAGGAAGTTTCTCCTGACCATCCAACCAGAAGTAATCTCTTTCTTTAGTACTTTCATAGCACATCTCTATACCTGTCTTTTGTCACTATGACCCATACGAGAATTATGTGATGTGAACTAGCTTTTCCCCAAGACTGTGAGCTCATGGGGAAGAGAGAGCAAGTCTCTATCTTTATGCCTCTCACAGGGTGTAGCTCAATACCTTGTTCAGGTTTCGTTCAAATGAATTACTAAAATGGCTAAATTAAAAACAAAGTTATTCTGGTATTTATAGCAATCTACTTTAAATTTTATTTCCTAAAAATACAGTTACATAAGGTGCTATCATAATCTGAATATGATACTTTCAAGGTATAACATGGAAAGGACAAAAAGTAATGATCTCTTAGAATGGAAATAGAAGGAAAAAGTAGTAGCAAAAGGAGTACAGTTCTGCAAAACCCCTATTTCAAAAGAAGAAGAACATCCAAAGGAAATTATGGTCTTAACATGAAAATTAACAACCTGTGGCTTTCTTTTATTCAGAGTTTGCTTTCCTATAA